AAACTTCGTCAATTTTGTTGTGCACAAAAATGAAGACAATGTACAAGAATGAATCAAAATATAAGTAAAAAATAAGTAATTTGTATTGAATTTGTTTGTTAGGAGAATTTTTTAGAATAATGAATCAAATATAAATGGAAAATATCTCATTTGAATTGAATTTATTAAGAATATTAATCGGAAATAACTGATTCCTATTAAATAATATTGTTAAGAAGATGCAAAAAAAAAAAATAAGAATTAAAATATAAATAAAAAATGATTAATTTGGATTGAATTTATTCGTGAAAAGCATTTAAAATAAAAAATCGAAATATAAATTAAAAATAACTAACTTTTATTGAATTTGATTGTTGAGAAGAACTAATAAAAAGAATTAGAATTACAATGAAAAAAAAAACTAGCGCAACTCCACGTATATATAAGATGTCACTTCCATTTTCTCTTTTTAATCTTTTATATTTTAATAATCAAAATTATCCAAATATTTTCTTTTTGAAATCCATAGTAAATATTGTACAAGTTATTATTCCAGACGCTTCATCAATCAATATTTATTTCTTAAAGCTGCCTATACACAACCGTTTAAGAAGGATTACATACACGATATGTACTGAAAACAACAGGGACTTCCCCTTTTTGACACTTGATCCCATGTGTTTGATAAAAAACAAACATAATACATAGTATTCAATATGTTCATGAAAAATTGACCAACACTTATCTCTCATTGCACGTTGTTTGCAATGATACAACAACACGTTTTCGAAGGCTGTTTGTCTCAAGGTTGGTACTATAACTTAGGCGTCGTCGTGAATAGAGAATTTTGATTGCACACCTAGTTTGTATCTTTTTTTTCTAAACAATTGTCTCATCAATAGCCGAAATTGGTTGTTCAGATAATGGTATTGCTTGTAATGGCTCGTTGACATAAAGGAATCTTTAGATAATAGGTTTACGTTTTCTTTTTCGCTTGTTTTTCTTGTCGAATTCGTTTCAGTTCTTCTCAAGTTGGATCAATACCAAAACAATATTTTAATATACCCATAATCACAACAAACATTGCCACTATTGTCATCGGAATGATGGCAATATAAGCAAATGATTTCGAAATAATCCTGCAGATAAGTATTTTCTTAGTAATTATCTCACAATGTCGATCAGAATAACTCTCACCAAGACATTCACATGTGTAATTCATTAACATTGAACGACAAATACCTTTATTTTCACATGTAATATTATAACAATAGTCAATCTTTCTTTCACACTGATTATCTTTCCAACCAGCTGCACATGTACAATTAAATGCTGTAGTTGATATTTCGACACATGTACTTATAAAATCGATGGATTATCATTCTTGATCATAAAGAAGAAAGAATAAATACAATTATTCCAATAAGTATTTTTTTTTTCAAAGTCAATGATCGAATTGGTATTGTGTATCACTGAACTCAGGTGCGCATGAATAATAATAACCTTGGTTATCGTCAATGTTATTACAAGGAGCATTATTTGCACATGGTTAAAGCATATCACATGAAGCATCAGAGAAACTACAATTGTCACCAATGTTTGTCGAATTTGGACAAGTAGATGAGACAAAAACAAATGATGGTGGTTGAGCTAAGGAGTGAAGAGAAATAAAGATTGAGAGGCAATTCTTTTCCCTGATGTGAATATTTTATAAAGGGTGACTGGCTTAATTGTATTTTTCAATTTTATCAGTCCTATACATAAATCCTATTTCTAATTAACCAGATATAAAATGTTTTGTAGAATTATGGTCTCAAAGATTCGATAATTTCTAATTGCTTAGTAGTTCAAACACAAAGACTTCACATAATTAGCTTATTCGACAACGAAATCATCAATCTTTTACATTAAAATTGATTCGACTAACATATTAAAGGAATGAGAAATAGATAAAAACTTTTTTGCTCAATTAGTAAATGAGATTAGCAAAAGTATCAGTTAGCATTCCAGTTCGATGAAATACATACGTGTTTGTTTAGTTGAAAATTCAATTGTTGATCCAGTGGAAATCGCAGTTGTTTGTTTCGTTGAAGTTACAATTATTAGTTCGCTTGAAATTGAAGCTGTTGATTCACTTGAAATTAATTGTTGATCCGCTTGAAATTGGAGATGTTAATTCAGTTGTTGTTAGACGATCTAGGAACACTGTCAAATGAAACTTTTTACTAAGTTTAATAGTTTCTATTTCAAAAAGATAATCATCCTTCTATCGCTAATGTTCTCAAGATAACAATCTATGAATGTTGGATCTAATTCAATTTATTCATACAATGACTAGCGGTGACATTTTCGTAAGTTTTTCTTATCCAGATAAAAGAATATTTTATTTTTCTACGTCAACTTTACTTAATGGAATTCTTGAGTAGCATAAAGAATCTAATTGTATTTTTGATAGCAAGTTGCAGATATTTGGTTTCAAACTATTAATGAATTGTAGAAAAATAAATTTTATGGAAATTCTATCGCTGTTTGGTATTGAATTTTGAACATTTTTGATGATGATATCCTAAGAAAGAGTTTAAAAGTTAAAATTCATAATTATTTAATTAGTAGACTTATTTATGTGTTAGAATAATTCGATTATTTAAATGGTAGTTTCTGTTTTCTTATGAAACTTATCACAAGAATTTGTTAATAAATTAAATCGTTGAATTCGACGATTATATTCATCAACAACATACAAATTATCAGAACTATCAAAGCGAATTGCATATAGGTTGTTTAGTTCATCAGATGCTGATCTACGTTTTTAGTACAATCCACTATACACCCGAAATCACCAGATCCTGCTCGCATAATATGATGATTCGCATTGTTAGCAATGTATAAAAAACCATCAGCATCGACTATTATGTCTGTTGGAGAATTTAATGTTAAATGTTTTGGAATTCCATTTCCTGCCACTGTCTCTCCACTCGTTTGTCATAGTCGAAAAAGTTGAACTCTCTCATTTGCATGATCAGCTACAAACAAATTAGAATTGACATCAACAAATATTCCCCAAGGCAAAAAAAGTTCGTTGGGCGCGTTACCTCAGAAATCTATTCTGGCCACTACGGGTGTGGATATGGGTGTGGGAGGTGAGGGGGTGGGGATGTGAGTCTGAGTCTGAGCTAACAATATATCTATATCCACACCAACCAACACCCTAAATCATGTCATGAAATCAAAAAGCACTAAATATCATTAAAAAAATACATTTTATTCGTTCAAATTTTGAAAAAAACTGGTGAGTAGTCTTCAGTATAGTCTTTGCATTTTTGGAATGAAAATAGCTATCGACCTCGGCGTTGCGTTGATCGATAGAGGCGAAGATAGGCTATCCATCCATTCTATTGTTATTAAAAAAGCATATTATATTTATATTGAAATTGGTTCATCTTGAAAAACCATGATATACACAAGACAAAAGAAGATGGAAATTTTTCTTCGACTTTATGAAAAGATAGAGCAACCTCGACTCTAGATATTGTTAAAATGTTAGCTCTTTATCTTTTGCTATTAAGGAGTTATTCAAAAAATGTCCACGACCATCTATCTCTGAAACGGACATTAGAACACTGAAATACACATGAGAAATGAAACTTTGGAATATTTTATTTATTGATTCGATTATAGTACGATAATAATGGATCCAAAATAATTTTTGCCAAGCTCTACATCTGCCTCTTTGAGAATTTTGAAGATGAAGCTAATCAGGGTGTTTGAATACATTCATTTGGCAATCGAGTTAATTCAGAACACCATGTACGTATAAATATCCGTGCAACAGTTCAGTTTCATATATACTCAATCGTTAACAATAATCTTACATTAGAATCATAATCAAATGCTAGTTTGATTATATTAAAATGTCGATTTTCTCATGGATCATAACTAATACTAGCTACATGCAACAATTTCCATAGGTTGAACAAATATCATGTTCAATCTAAATAAGAAGAATTAATTTGCTTCATATGTAATATATTGAAAGATACAAAAAAATATATTTTGTTTTCAATAAAAGAATGATTCAAACTTACTACCAATCGATATCAAGATCTTCTATAAGATAACTTGCAACATTTTCTCTTCCTCTATGTAACATCCAATGGTTAGTCATGATCTCAAGCATATTAACATCAACAAATGGAAAATCTCTATTATCAACTATAGAAAACAATAAATTCGTGTAGTTTCGAATTTGAATAATGGGTGGCAGAAAGGTTTTTCGACAAGATCTCCATTCACTTTTGATCTTCTAGAAAGCCTGTCGGACGATCAAAAAACTTAATATCTTGACCAGAATTCGGCATTTTTTTGGAATATGTATTTTGAAATGTCATGTTAATTTTGGTTCAAGAGTAGTGAGGGACTATTTGAAAGAAATGCTGAACTAACAAGTTAAGTCAGTTGTCGAACTAGCTTAAATTTGTCGCATCCGTTCATTTTATAAAGGAGATACTTTTCTACAAAATACAATACTGAACTAAAATGTTGATTCTACCCAAGTGAGGGTACAAACATTCTTTTCAACAGTTTCTTCCGACATAAAATAGTTTCTGGTCGAAAAGTCAATTTTTTAGAAACAACGAAAATTGAGATGCCTTGTTAAAAGAAATAAAAACTATATAGTGCATTTTGTATGGTAGCTTGAGGGTGTGGGTGTGGGTGTGGACGTGATTACAGAGATCCTCACACCCAAACCCACACCCCATAGTTCCTTAAATTGTTTTTCATCGCCTGGCGATGTGTTTACACACGGTCTGTCCTCGAATAACGGTTTTTTTCGCGTCTCTCTTTCCAGAACGATCGGATTCGAAGCCAAAGCTATTCAGTCATGGAAACTTGATCGATCAGATTTCATGAATGCCTGACTAGTGCGTATAACCATAATACCCCTCTCAACATGGACAAGTCCGAGTAACTATTTTTACATAGTTTATATATTTTCAGTGAGTAAAAAGAAAATAAAACATTTAAAATTTAAGACGATTGTCAAGTTTTTTCAGTTGGTCCAACATTGATGACAAGATAGTGTTGTTCCAGAGCTGAATCTCTTTGAGTGTCTGCGTGATAAAATACAGATGTGAGAGGCACATAAGACAAAGAATAATAATTACCGTATTAGCTCGTAGAGCTTCAGCAAGACGTTTTGCTCCTTGATGTCCAATTTGATTATCCTTGAGATTTAGTATAGTAAGTGTCTGCATGAAAAAATAGAAAGTAAGGAAATATGAAGAGGCAAAAAGCTAAAGAGATTCACCGTATTGTGTCGTAGAGCATCAGCGAGACGTTTTGCCCCTTCGTCTTCGATTTGATTCTCATTGAGGCTTAGTGTAATCAATGTCTGTGCAAGAAATAAGAGGATGAAGAAAGATGAAGAGACGAATATACAGAAGAAGGGTTACCGTATTGTGCCGTAAAGCATCAGCAAGACGTTTAGCTCCTTGGTCTCCGATGAGATTTTTATCGAGATTAATAATAACGAGTGTCTTTGTTTAAAAAGTCTAGATGAGAGATATGATGAAGATAGTGAGAAAGAGAATCACCTTATTGTGTCGTAGAGCATCAGTAAAATATTGTACTCCACTATCACCAATATGATTGTGACAGAGACTGAGTGTGATGAGTGTCTACATGAGAGGATATGAATGAGATAAATGAAGGTATAGATCCAAAAAGATATGTCACTTTATTTTGTTGTAAAGAATTAGCCAGATATTTTGCTCCTTGTGGTCCGATAAGATTCTTATCGAGATTCAGTGAGGTGAGTGTCTGTGAGAAAGTGCAGAAGAGAGAAATGAAAAGACAAACAAAAGCAACAAATTACTGTGTTCTGTCTTAAGCTGTCAGCCAGATGTTGTATTCCTTTATCTCCGATTTGATTATCATTGAGATTGAGTATACTAAGTGTCTATGTAAGAAGGATAGAGAAGATGTACGAAAAGTACGAAGAGAAAAGAGTTACCTTATTGTGCAGTAAGACATCAGCAAAATATTGTGCTCCTTTGTCTCCGATATGATTGTGGTGAAGACTAAGCGTGTTGAGTGTCTGTATTCAAAGATGTAGATGAGAGAAATGAAGAGACCGATAGAAAAGCCAACATACTGTATTTTGTCGTAGAACATCAATTAGATGTTGTGCCCCTCTGTCTCCGATTTGATTGTGGTAGAGACCGAATGTTGTGAGTATCTATTTTTAAAACATATAGATAAGAGTTATGATGCAGACTGTCAGAAGAAGAGTTACCGTATTGTATCGAAGAGCATCAGCGAAATATTGTACTCCTCTGTCTCCAATTCGATTGTGGTAGAGATTGATTGTGGTAAGTGTCTATAAAAATCTAATGTTAAAATATAGTTCTGATTCATAGCAACATCTCTACGAAGGAGTACACTATTTGGACGCGGTATTAACTTGTAGGTGCAAACAGGAACTAGAAATATGAGGCCTTGGCTCCCCTGATGACATAGTATACTGATCTGGTGTATCAACAGAGCTTATGGAGAAGAGTAGTACAAAGGAAATGATTATCTGTTAGATTAAGTTTTCCGTTTCTTTTCGAAAAATAGCTGGACATGTTAATCATTCGTACCAGATGAATGCTGATACGAATATGACATCTGCTCGCAATGTTCATTCAATTCATAAATTTTTATTGAAATTACATGAAAGTTTGAACGAGATTTGCTAGGCTACTATTAGTGAATGGACTTAAGCGACTGGACAGGCCAAGAGAGCTTAAGAATCGATCCGGAAGATCAACGGAGCTCAGATCTTAATTTACATATTCGATTACATCACTCCGAAAACAAGTTTTCGAAAGCTGAACATTTCTTTTATCTGCATTACCTTCCAATGAAGAAAATCCTTTAAAGAGGAAGAAACTAAAACCATTTCAATATCTTAGAAACAAGAACTTGTTTGAAGGCAGGCTATATAAAAGTGAATGCAGATATAACTTTGGAGATCACAAAATAGCACTCTCATTCTATGTGTCAGATATATACGCGAACATACCATGTCATCAGTATTATCAACCATTTCATCAATTGATCGTTGAGTCAGACGGCATTGTTTGTCTATCCATGATACCTCACATCTCATCAATCTTTCGATCCCACTATCTCTAATTGATGCTGTATGAAGCCAGATGGCACACGCTTTCGGAACATAAGCACAAGTTACAAACCATCGTTTATCATCAAGCCAGAAATATGTACGAAAAGGAACCATTAAAGATTCAAGACTGATGAAGTCATCGTTGTCATGATATATATACGAGAAAAAAAATTCGAATCGAACTAGTGTTGGTGCTTTTGCTTGAATCAACTCTTCCAAATGAAAGCCATCGAAAAACGAATCAAGCGCTGTTCGATGAGAAATCAGTTTGAGATGAAGAAGTGTAGGTATTGGTGAAAGTAGAAATGTAAAATTTTCTAGACTGAGTGAGCAATCACTAATGGTCAGAGACATTAATGGAGAATGGGCTTTGAATTTAGACAATAAAAATAGTGCACTATTCGTGTCATTTATAGTACAATTTCGCATGACGAGTGTTCGTAAATAGGGCAATCCTCGAAGAATGGCAAGATATTCGCTATAGATACAATTATCGATAACCAAGTGTTGTATTTTGCATTGATCGGGATATGATATATTTCCCATCATATAATTGATATTATGCATAGATAGCTTTCGCAAGCTACATCGTTCGAGTAACGATAAAACAAAAGCCCATGCTCTACAATTTTCTCTGTGACTCGATTCAATGAAAAGTGAAGCCAAATAGTCAGTGCTCACATGTTCTAAGAGATGTTCCAGATCATCATCTTGAATTTGATGAAAACTCAACGAATGAAGTCGAGTAAATTGGCTAATATTAAAAATTGAAATAAACGCCTTGATTCGATTCGTTTTTATAGAGTCGTTAGAGAGAATCAATGCCGTCACATTTTCGGGTCGGACAAAAAGTGGCATCGATTCTATCTTATATGGCGATTTTGAATTGAAAATCAGTTTGAATCGATCGTAAGTACTGGCCAAAATATGCAATCGTTTACAGACACAATGAATTGAAAGAAAGTCCTGGACATCACAATAGTCAAATATGCGATGAATTAATTCCACAGGTAGGGTAAGAAGAGAAGTATCGACCATGAAAGTACCAGTTGCCATTACTAATTTTGTTGTAAAACTATACAAAGTGATGACTAACATCTGTATCACAGACGTATATCAAGAGAAATCAACAGTGTTTCAGTGAAAATTTTTCAAAACTTACGTATTTTCGACTAACAGGTAAGACAGAAGGTAAATGAAAGAAGTTTGATTGTATGATAGATGCTCTCTAGGTCACTTTCCCAGATATATACTGCCACTGTTTGAACAAAGGTTTTTGTTGTAAAATATTTCCTTTACTCAAAGTGCTCTCTAGACGATAAAAAGTGTAGAAATCATTTTTGTCTCAAAATAAATATTTACCATCTGAGAATTTTGACACTAATTCTATACTGTTGACCATGTTCTGAAAAGTCGACCTGTTCAGATAAAGACGCAAGTACTTCTCGCTGTAGCAAGTAACGAAATGCCTTTGAGGAGTGTTCTCATGAAGCTTATATTTCTGTTAAGTGCTTTATGAAAGCTATCAGTTGTCATCTGCATCATTCGTTTATTGAGAGAATTTCAGAGCGTGATAGAAGTGTATCGGCGCGTCTGGCATGTGCTCTAATTAAGACTTCGGTTATCTATAAGTGCGAGCTCATGAAATCATCTTAAGATTTTTGCGATGAACTCTGATGAAGTCTCAGCTAAATTAAAGAATAGAATCGAGAAAACTTACGAACCAATATGATCATTTGAGTAATTGTATTTTTGATCACCAAATTTTATAGAGGGATGTGATTTTTTATCACTCCTTGTTTGTTCGTTATGTACTTACATTTCATTAGGGAGGCATCCATAGATATTTATCATTCTCGTCGATGCCTTACATTCGATGACTTTTTGGTATGGCAACGATCGTGTTGGTTAATTGTACCATTACAATCATGTCGCTGTCCTATTAGCATTAAAGAGTATTCGTGTCAACATTCTATTGGTTTAGCAATTATATTTAACATGTATCAAGTCAGCGACAAAACACGTATTTAATCATTATATGAACGAAAAAACAAGAGGACGTCCCAAGAAAGTTAGCACAACTTTAAATTTGTAAATATATATCACTAAAAATAAGAATATTGTTTACTTTGTTGAGAAATAAAAATATGAGATGCATTCTAAAAAATTTGGTGATCAAAAACATTGCCATCTTGATAACTTTTCATAGAGGTATCTAATTATTATAAATAATTTCAGATTAGATTAGATAAAGAAAATCGAGGATCGATGTTATTATTATAAAACAAGAAAAAATGAAGAATGACTCATGCCAGTTAACCGATCAGTCTGGCTAATGTAGACGAGTGGTTAAGGAAAAAGTCCTATCGGTGTCGAACGTCTTGCATCGCATTTTGTAAAAAAAAATAGATTCTTCTTTACCTATGATCGATCGTTGATCGGTGTTATTGCGTTTAGTATATAAATGTTTTTGATTCACGTGTTTTTTCTCATAAGAAGTTATTCATTCCTTCTTTACTCTAGCCAAATGTACACCAATCAATGTAAAATTGACATAGAATGATTCATTCGCTTGTTCTTACACAACCAACACTCTACGAGTCGCGAAAAAATATAGTGAATTCAGTCTATTCTGAATGAGTCATTCTATGAAGAATGTTCTCGCACTCCGATAAAGCATAGAAAATCTTCTTCTATAGATGTCCTTTGACTCCGTTTTGTCTTATAGAACCATGTTTTCATTGAGATATCTGCGTTAAAACTGGAGTTATGATACTTGAAAACTAATCGACAATCCTAAGAGTATTTAATAAACAAGTTCTAGACACACTCCTCAAATTTTTTTGATATTTTTCTAAATTCAATAGAAATTCAGCTAGAGGGTATTCGAGCTTCACTCGAATATGAAATGTGATGCGAAGCACAAATTTTGATTTTTCGAAAAAGACGATATTTCATGAAAACAAGTAAACAATTTCACGGTTAATCAGAAATCGGTGTTTTCGAAACCATATTTATGTTTTGCTGCAGTTAGCATTTTTTCTGTCACTATGAATTCTAAAATTCATATTTCGACCGATCAGCAAAGAAAAATTTGAAATAATTCGTAAATCATCCATCACGAGATTCATCACTACGAACACTCTAAGAATGCATATCAATACATTTCTAATGAACGATATCGATTGATCGTTTAATTATCTGTATGATTCATTATCTATAATCACCTGCATTCACAGCTGTTTGATACATATGAAAAAGAGTGGCGCCTAACTTTTGTTAAAGTTTTCATTTTAATTATCTAGAAATGAAAAAAGCTTAAGATCTGTCAAATTTGTGTATGGAGAATAAGGTAGCTATGATATAAATAACCCACACTCACATCCTGAGTGAAGTTTTCACCAGATGTAAAGAAACAAAATTTTGAAAAATCCCAAATCTGCAGACGATCCGACAATTTTTTTTCATAACTAGCACTCAACTCGGTTGCAGGACACTAATCATGACTAACCAGGCGTTTATTTTATGATCTTCATCGCGACTAATGGGAAAACTCAATATGGAGCTTGCGAATGGAAAAATATTTCGTGATCATGACCGGTGTGTCCAAAAGAAATCTAAAACAAGATGTACATGTATACTTTTTTTACATGAAGAAACTGTATAAAATCGAGGTTTCATAGACTGTAAAGAAACAAAAAAATAAAATAATATTCATATTGCTTGAATAAATATAGATGCAGTTTTTATCTTAGAGAGGATGTGCGTGTGGGTGCATTTAAAATTACCGTCTATGCACACACCCCACATCCATACTCATGTTAAAAAGACAAAAAACAAATAAATATTAGTTTATAAAATTTGTAATGCCGAAGGTTGAATATAGATTATCAGTTGATAAATCATTTGAACAACCCAATGTATTCCATCTGTTCGATTATTATCAAATGGTTCATTGACAGAAATAAAACGAGCTAATTTATAATACCAACGAAATGGAGCCATAAAAGTTTGTGCCCATTGATGATTTTTTGCTGAGGCATAACAACTCGCCAAAACATCGTTTATTAATATAGTTCCTTTATTTAATAATAAAAATATTTCTAACTAAATAAATATAATGACATCTAGACTAACCTGTCAATGTTAATGGAGCAAAATATCCTTTTTTTATTTCAATGGTTATATTTCTAACTGATGAAGATTCCATGTGACCATTTATAAGAACATACAATTGATCACCCAATTGAACTTGCCGGGCTGCAATATAATTCATTTTGTTATTTGAAGAAATAATCGGAATTAAATGGAGATCCGTTAAACTTATTTTATGACCTGAATCAGTTATGAATGTATAAAATTTAGCTAAAACAAACCGATTAAAGAAAAAAGAAATACTAAGATAGAATAAAAACCTTGTTTTGATCTTTGTTTATCCAACATAAAAATCATTTCAGTAGGAACTATTTTCAAATGATCAACAGCAAGAATTTCATCACCTGTTTGAAGATAATCGATTTGTTTTTGTTCACCATTAGTTAACATAACCGATGAATCACCAGAAAAACATCCAACACTAACGTCTGTTGAATCTGCATCGGCTCCTATATTATTTTAAAATTTTCTTCAGAAAAAATCTCTTACTATTTAATCTTTATCGTTTTTACCATTTTTCTGTCCATAACTATGGTGTGTTACTGCAAGATATAGAATAATAATTTTGAAAATATGCATACTTTTCTATATATTTTGAAATGATAAAATGATCTTCAAGTTTGACTTAACTTCACTTTAAATGATCGAATTCAATAATAAAATGTTTTTTCTTAATGCAACATTATTATAAAAGCAAATACTTTTGTAAATTTTTCAACGATGATTTATCTTTATATTTACTTTAAGAATTTAATAGTTTCATATTGACAAATCAATCAAAGATCGTAATTTACATATTTGAAAAGCAGTAACCAAATAAAAACGAATTTACAGAGCAGTTTTTTTTTGTGCTTTTCTTTTGAATTACTTTCAATTCTGATTTAAAAACAAGACTATTGTTAGATCGCTTCCATTATTGACTTTCGATATTTACAAAAAAAATAATCAATGTTATTTTTGCATTTAATTGATTAACAGTGATGAGTAATCCAAACCTTGTTTGATCAAATAAAAAAGATGCTCTAAACTCGCATTTTATGTTTAGCAGGACTTCTTTTCCATAAATTGCTCAAAATTCTAAATTTAAGCTAAATATTTTTTTGACAGTTTTTCTACTCTAGTTGGATAGATCATGTTAAGTTACTTCTTTAAATATTGTTTTTGACATATTAAAATAACGGTTTGGTAATGAAAGTTACGGTAATTAGGTTAGATAAAAAGCAGAAAAGTGTATTGCCCAGTGAAAAATGTTCATAAAAAAACTGAAGAGAACGCGCTTTTCATATTATCGAAAGAAATCATTAATGCATCGAAACAATCCAAGAGGCTGCAATGACGGTTTTTTTGGGTGTGGGTGTTCTCTTCATTCACACCCACATTTTTGTTACCTTTGATAGGATCCAGTTCTGTGTCACTTCTTCTTACTTCCAAAGAATGAACTGAACCTGAATTGAGGAAATATTGTATTTTTTGTTATGTATGTTTATTTTCAGTTCTTTCTTGAAGTTGTTTTGTACATGATTAAATAAAATGAAAAAGCCATCTGATGAGACCCTTGAGTTAGACCGAAATCCTGATGATAATAATAGTTCTACTCATGTTCGCACTCTCAATGACAATTACGAGTGTTTGTTTGTTCGCTAACATCTTGTTTGCTGCAGAATACAGTGTGAGACAAAAAGAAATAAAAACGCTCTGCTCGGATACAAATTGATTATCCTCAGTAATCACATAAGAAATCGTAGCATGTTGTACGATTCAAAAATTGTTCACAAGCAGATTTTTTCTCCAAAATATCTCAACAGACAGCCTTCGAAATAGTTATTATCAACCACCGACTAGAAATTGTATGTACAAAACTCTGTGCAGAGACGATATGTCATCTTTCTCACTCTACTCTTATCCGAATTTCTGAACTGTGGATTTTTCTTTTGACGTCAAATATCTGAAAGATCAGACGTTTTAAAACGAACATTTAATTAGCTACTTGTTGAGACTTTGCAAAAATTTCTTTGAAATCGAAGGGAGATACAATAGCATACGCGGTCAAACTTTACGCTTACATAATAAATATCTTTGCTATAAGAAAATTCGATCAGGTAAAAATTTACAGCTGTTGCTACAATTGTTGTCGATCGTAAACTCACAATCTTTTTATTTATGAGTCTTGATGCAATTATAGGAGTTGTAAAACTGAGTATGTACCATATTCCAATGATTTACGATATAATAATTTACGACCAGTTATAAATCGAGGCTCATTGCAAAAGATTGTTCGCACGGGCATTTTTGATCTATACTTCTTTCTGATCTCGCTTTATGCTGAGTGTATCACTTGAATTTACTATGCAATTAAGGGAGAAAAGCTAATTTTTTGATTGTCTTGATTACTTTGATTGCAATCAGCTTTTTCTCCTTATCTATAATATATCATTTGAAGACGTTATACGAGAGCGTTTTTGGCCTATTATACAGTTAGACTCAAGATGGGATCTGAATTTTAATTTTGTCAATTTTTATGAAAAAATTTAGTCACTAAAACGCGACTGCAAAGCATAGATTCACAGCAGTACTCGATTGAATGATCATCGTTTAAAGAACTTGGTTCAATTTCGCAAGATGTACTCATGAAAGAGGTTATATCCATGCAACTTTTCCAGTATCAGTCTTTTATTTTTGAGACAAAACTTCTTCATTTCGTTTTGTTTCATCTCACGTTCTATTATTTATTGTTTTTCTCCCCATAGAACAAAACATTTCGAAGCTGTAAAACACTTATCTACAACGATTATCAAGCATTGAAACATAAGTATCGAATTCTGTTGTATCAACACTTGTCAATAATTCAGAACGATTTGAACAGAAGAAGAAAAAATTGTTACAAAAATATATCTCGATTGTTTTATTGATAAACATCAACCATGTTGAAAGACGACATCAAAGTGACGACACTTCGGGGCCCGAAGATCGATGTCGAAGCCCCATCGATAAATCTTTTCAATCGTTTTCAAGCCCGAGCGTTGCAACATCCCAACAAACTTGCTGTTGTGCTCGATGATCAATCGGTGACTTATGGTGAACTGCACTCTCTTATTACTTCATTCGCATCCCGTCTCTTACTAGTTGTCCATCCCGGTGATACTGTGTGTCAATGTGTCGAACGCAGTATCGAAATGGTTATCGGTATTTTAGCTATATTTCTGTGCAATACAGTCTACTGTCCATTGAGTCCGAAGGATCCGATCGAGAGACGCCGAATGCTTCTGAATGAAACTCGAGCAACGGTTATCCTAGTACATCAGGCCACGGATCATCTCTTTTCCGATGATGATGATATTGATTGCATCAAATTACGAATCAATGAACAAGAGAACATTGAATCAGTGCTGGATGTCATGATTAATCAGGATTTAGCTGCGCTCGCCTTTGTCGTATTCACATCAGGATCGACTGGCACTCCCAAAGGTGTTCCTATTGGACATGCTAATTTTGCTTACTATATCGCAAGCATGTGCCACGAAAATTATATTCTAGAGAATGATATCATTCTGCAAATATCCCAGGACACGTTCGACGCTCATCTTCAGGAGCTCCTCGGAGCGGTACTTGTTGGTGGTACATGTATCTTGCTTCGACCAAACGGTGGAGCTCATCTGAATACTGTCTATCTAACACAAACAATGTGTCAACATCAAGTCACCTTCACAAACCTTGTACCATCACTGGCGATTGCACTTATCGACTATCTCAGTCGTCTTAAACAACGATTCTCACCATCGCTTCGAATTGTCATATCCACAGGTTAGAATACATATGATCACTTCTGAATAGATGGTACTTCATTTTATTACAGCTTCGTATGAGAGTGAACGAAAGATCTACGATTTTTTCAGTTAAAAGACGAATGAGTTCTATGTATGTTTCATTATCTGTAATAGGAGAACCACTTTCTTGGACACTGGCCAGCGAACTTCTAGAATGTCTTTCACCGAACACGCATCTTTTGAACACCTACGGTGTTACTGAAACAACTGTCGACTGTACGTATCGTCGAGTATTTGAACACGATAGTGTATTATCATCGTTGTCCACGTTCGTTCCTGTCGGTGTTCCGCTTCCTAACTACGTATGTCATATTATAGAAGAAGAAGGAGAAGAAGACGGTGTTGGTGAACTATTTATTGGTGGACCGGGCGTATTTCAAGGCTATTTAAATCAAGGTCCAAATCCAGACGACAGTCGTTTAGCGAAGATCAATGAAGACATATGTTATCGTACAGGTGATCTGGTCAAAGTTGTTAATGGTGAACTTGCCTACGTAGGCCGACGAGACTTTCAAGTGAAAATACGAGGTAAATACTAAATGTTCTAGCTTGAAAAGCTTCAAAATTTTCGATTCAGATCATATAATCTATCGAGCATAGTCTCAGACACAGTCCATGGCATTTATCTTTCTCCACAATTAACCAACAACAGCACATATAGCCACAGTTTCTTTTTAATATTGTACTGCCGCATACTTTGAATCTTCGCTGAGAATACTCTTGTTCTATAGAAATGTCAAATTGCATTTTCTGCAGAATTCAGATATTCCGCTGAGGGAACATGAATTCAAAAATTCTACAGTTCTCGCAAGAAAAATTCGTATCCATTGTTGAGTTTGACCATTATTATGATTTAATGCAGTCTGATATGTTCATTTTCAGGTCAACGCATCGAAACAGGAGAGATCGAGGCTGTAATATTGCGACATTGTCGGGAGCAGTTGAATGCATGTGTCGTCATAGCGTATGATAATCACCTAATTGCCTATGTTCAAACTCGCTCATCCGGCACTGACGTTGAACGAATCGTCAATGAGACATGTCGTCAACATCTACCCATAAATATGTTACCATTCGCTATTGTCGTTCTCGACCGATTTCCATTGAACGCCAATGGAAAAGTCGATCGTGCTTGTTTACCGCCACCACTATCTCCGAAAGTTTCACTATCAACCGATGGCGAACCTCAGAACGAGCTTGAATTCTACTTACACGGATTATGGTGTCGTATGTTGGGAATAGACCGAGTACCACGCGACATCAACTTATATACATTGGGCGCTAACTCTTTACACTTCATGTTAGCTGCAAACGACTACCATCGTCAATTACGAACCAAGAATGCTCAGTTGGATTTATCTACTTTCATTCGACACGCCACTATCGCGCAACATGCTGAAATTCTTCTAACCAAGCAGAATCAAACGATCATTACACCAGTGTGGCAATCCGAACGTCTTACAGAAGGTTATCTTTTCTTTTTGGTTCATTTGAAATCGTAGTCATATCAACCAGAATAACTGTATAAAGAAAACCGAGAGAGAAATTACACATTCGAAAGTTCCTTTGAATCTTTCAAAAATATTACTTTCTTGTTGTGATGAACCCAAGGTTCATTTTTCTGAAAGTCTATAACACCAGATACTACAGAAGAGATATTCATCACAACCCTGTTATGATGTAATTGAATGGGTGATCTGAACGAAATGAGAATGAGAAGGAGCCGTACGACTGAATTACCCGAAACATCTCGTGAACAAAGTCTATAATTTCTTCAGATTTGATTTTGTCCCTATTTCGTTGAGTTGTATAAAAACAATGCGACACTCCGTCATTTTCATTATGGGTTGGTTTTTTTCGAAGAAAACTGACGGGATTGAAATATTTTCATCATATATGAACCCACTTGAAAGTCACTTAACTGATTGCAAGATATTGTATTATTGTGCCTTATTTCAATTCTCACACAACGAAATTTTGTTATAGGACCATCGTCATTGGAACAGGAAGCCATTTGGCTTGATGAACAGATGCGCTTTCGTAGTGACAAGGACGGTATTGCTGTTTATCACATCGTGCTCACTTTTCGTATTCTAACGATTGACGGCAAATCTCAATTGGTCACATCACGCCTTCGGTCAAGTCTTCAATTACTCGTTGAAAAGCATGCATCATTACGCACTTGTTTGGAAATGTCCGATGATGACCAAAGTGAACTGCGTCAACGTATTTTGCCATCGAATTCAACCGAAGTGCCTCTTGTCGAAAGTTGGATTAACAATGATGATGATCTCTACAACATAATTGCTGATGAAGAAACCAACCGATCACACTTCGACCTTACCCAAGGCCATGTCTTTCGAAGTCATCTGATCCGATATCGTGAGCGAAACGGTGAGAGCGTGATTCTTTTCAACTTTCATCATTCGATGTTCGATGGCACCAGCGAAGCACTATTTCTCAATGATCTACGCCAAGCCTATGCTACTGGAGAACTGATCGATGTTACCAATGAAGAGTGCACCTACCTTGACTATGCTCGATGGGAACGACAACTGAACATGTCAGTGGCTCTGGCATTCTGGAAGGATAATCTGAAAGATCATCAGATACTCGACCTGCCCTATGATCGAATTTGTCCGACAGCCGTTCGAACAGGTAGAGGATCATCTGTGCTTGTGAAAATTTTTTATGGAGACGCTCTTGGTGCCTATGCCCGTCAACGACAAGTAACACTCTTCCAATTATGTCTTGCTATGTACTACTTGTTTCTCTATAAACTCACCGGCCATCGAGATTTGATAGTAGGCAGTCTTGTCGCTAATCGAACGCGACCCGAACTAGGTTCGATAATTGGTATGTTTGCTAATCTGGTTCCTTACCGTCTCAAGATCGAACCACGGGAAACATTTCGACAGTTGATTGAACGAGTACAAAATCTCTGTCACAATGTATTTCCTCACCTTCGGCTACCTTTTCAGACCTTATCCAAATTTCTCCATCCTACTAGCGGCATTGTCACCGCAATAGATTTCGAAACCATCACTGCTCAGTATCCGCTCGATAACAACCTTCAACTTTCATCAATAATTACGCCTGTGAACATGACGCCGTTCGATTTATCGCTTTTGTTCAAACACGATCTCTCGACAAATATGATCATTTGCACATTCGAATATTCTCTCGATGTATTTGATCGTTCAACTATCGAAATACTCGCTCGTCGATTTCAATTGCTTTTCACACAACTACTTGACGACGATCAACAACCTGTTTATGGATTCAATGTATTACTTGATAACGAACAGCAACTATTGCACGATTTCAATCCTTCCATCCTCATCCCAGAATTCGAGCCTTGTCACCGGATATTATCTCGTCGAGCTGATGATCATCCACAGAAAATCGGTATCGTCATGGAAGAACAGTGTCTATCATACGGTGAAATCCTCCATTATGCACAACAGTGGGCCACGCATATTCTCACAACGTGTCATGTCAACATTGGCGACATTTTGTTACAAGTTGTAGAACGAAGTATTCACATAGTGTTGGGTGTGTTTGCCATTTGGATGTGTGGTGCGGTTTACGCACCGTTCAATCCTCGGGATTCGCTTTCACAGCTTCAATCACGCATTGATAAGTTAGGAGCTCGTGTTCTACTCATTCACGAAGCGACACGATCCTTTGCAACGCTCGATTCCGATATTACCGTTATTGATATAGACCGAATTCCTCTAGAACAGCACAGAGATGTATCCATATTGGATTCGATTTCAGTTAAATCTGATTCTCTCTCACATATTCTCTTCACATCTGGTTCTACAGGCGAACCTAAAGCGGTAAGTCACGCTAATAAAGCTATGATGTGAAACATTCAATTTTTCCTAACATAAAAGCGGATTTTCGAAATCGATTATTTGCCTTCAAAGATCCATTCACTTCTCTGAGAAGATGTTGGCCTACAGGACTAAAAGATTTCCCAAATACTCTAAACGCTTTGAGTTTATTCTTTGTTCAATTTGCAAAGTATTGGCCGGTTGAAGTTTGGAAGATCTCACAAGAACATAATTACAACGATGAGATCGTTTCATAAATGATCTTTGTTTTGAATTTTTTATGTAGATTCAACTGAGCCATCGAAATTTTGTATCCTATACTCGTTCGGCAGTAATCGATTCAACAAGCATTGTACTCCATCATAGATCTGTTGCATTTGATCCTCATCTTGAAGAGATAGCCGGAAGTTTAATAAGCGGTGCTCAGGTTGTCTTACTCAAACCGGATCCATGCCATCTCGATATGGATTATTTCTCGACAACAATCGCCCGATATCAAGTGACATTCATAGGCATAGTACCCACAGCACTCATCACAATGATCAACTTGATTCGATCATTGCCACAAGTTGAACAAGACAATCGTCTGAAATCACTACGTTGTATTGTATCTGGAGGTTTGTCATTTACATACCTTTGCGTGTCTATCGATTCATTGATAAGAGCCAACAGAAATCTGTCAATAAATATAGGAATTCGTTAACATTACAGAAGAAAACATAATTGCTGTAAGATGAAGACCTATTCAGAAAGTTATTTTCGATTGTTCCATCAAATCACGCTGATAGTTTCAGAAACTACGTATGCTTGAGCTTTACGAAACAGGATATGATAAAAGTGCAAAATATACTTAGATTTCTGTAAAAGAAAATAGTCAAATTTTTTGCAATATTCATAGATTCCAAAACTACCCAAAATGGAAAGGTGCAAAAAAAATTTCTGATAAGTAGTCAAATCTGGCACCTTCTCTAACCTCGTTCAAATATATATTACAGAAAAATCGACGTGTTTTTTGCATTTCTTTTCACCTCTAACTTAGACAAAGAATTCTACATAGAATTAGGCGTGAAACGAAGGATACAGAACAATAGGTCTTATATGCCGGCCAATATCAATTCTATTTGTGCTCGTAAATGCGCTATTCTGTGAATTATAGGTGAAAAACTCTACGTCACAACTGTGCTCAACCTGCGACCGTTGTTGAATCCCGAATGTATTATACTGAATTTCTATGGTCCGGCAGAATGTGCTGTGGCAGCGTCATGCTACTTTGTGACAGGTGAGGAGACGCAGAATCACATTGGTCTTCCAATTGGACGACCACTGGCTCATACACAAATTTACATTCTTGACGAGTTTCTTCAAGAAGTCATACCCGGACAAACCGGTGAAATCATCATCGGAGGTACGAAGCTCTTTTCACTATTATACGCTTCCTTTGACTTCTACCAATTTCACACGCGCAACAAATTTTGCACACTATATTGATACTTTCAGTTTTAGAACTGAGAAGAATAGGTTAAATGATCGATTTGTAGTTTGAAATATATACCCTCAGAAAAAAAAAAGTTTCAGTCCGTATTTCAACCACATTGTCACTATAAAGAGGTACTTTGTTTAAAACCAATTCCACATTCCAAAAGCTCATGGAGTTTTCTATCACCCTCTATATATGCATTTTCGTTTGCACTTATGCATTACCAAAAAAATTGAATACAAGGAAGGTACCCTCATATCCAGATTCCCACAGACTTGATTTTGTCACTCTTGTGCAATTCTCTATTACTATGTATATTTACCTATTTTCTTGCATTCATATATTGAAAAAAAATTGAGTACAATGAACACATTCTCAATTGACAAGTACTAAAAATCGTTATTTTTCTCGTTTTTCAAAATATAGTTACTATGAAAATAAATTTTTTATAAAAGAAATTATAGATTCTAATCGAGCTTGAAATTCTCTATCAACCTATATATTTTTGTCTTTCCTTATCTTTATTGTGCTGAATATGCTGCAGTACATAAATACAAGATAGTTAACAAACATTAGAGTGTCTTCATTGTATTCAATTTTTTGGTAATGCATAAGTGCAAACGAAAACGCATATATAGAGGATAAAAGAAAACTCCACGAGCTTTCAGAATATGGAATTGGTTTTAAAAAAACTATCTCTTTATAGTGACAATATGGTTGAAATATGGACTGAAACTATTTTTTTCTGAGGGTATATATATTGTTTGCTGAGTACTCGGATACTTCAGAGCAAACCGCACCTTTCAGAATATGCTAGTAAAGTGAAAAAAAATTTTACTAATCGTTATTCGATGATAGGTATTAGCTCATAAAAAAGTAGAAGTCAAATTTTGGTTATTTATCATGTTTAATACGAGCATGGAATCTATTGAAGGAGGTGGAGTATTTATCGGTTATCGGAATCAGAACGAACTCACTCGTCAAGTAGTGATTGACTACAAAGGATCTCGTTGCTATCGAACGGGAGATTTTGGCCGATTGAATGTGCAAACTGGACAGCTCGAATTTCTGGGCCGTCGTGATCATCAGATCAAAATTCGTGGACAGAGAATCGAATTGGATGGCATCGAACAAGTCATTCTACGTTTCAATCCCAAAATTTCGAATTGTCTCGTTATCAAAGGATCGGTCGCCTCGGACGAACATCTAGTTGCTTATGTCCAATGCACTGATGATCAATATTCAGTCAACGAAAGTGAAATTCGAGGTTTTTGCCAACAATACTTGGCTTCCTTTATGGTACCCTCATTTTTCATTGTTCTCGATCAATTTCCGCTAAACCATTCGGGAAAAGTTGATCGCGCTCGGCTGCCTCAACCAACTATTAGCAGTACTTCGAAGGATCAAAATCAAGTTCTATCGCCGCTTGAGCATAAATTACGCTCCATTTTTGCACTGGCTTTTGGCCTGTCTGATCCATCATTGCTCAATGTAGGGACAACGTTTGCAGAGCTCGGCGCCACTTCGTTGGGTATCATCAAAGCTCTCGGTCTGATTCGACGGCAACAGCTAAATGGTTCGCATCCTATTGACATCAGTACTCTCCTCGCCAATCCATCGGTGCATCTACTTGCACAAGCATTGGATTCATCATTTTTGCGCGATGATGTCTTGACTAAAGGTAATTTAAGCTCTCATAATCCATTCGTTCTAGGGGTGCATCAGCAAAATATTCTCACAATAGCAAAATGTCTCTGCCATCGAAATATTAAAGTCATTTATAAAATATCATGCCATAACGAATTTTCACCAAACAAGCAGAAAGTTCTTCTTTTATAATTCTTGAAGACACTCTATTCTGAACCGCTGTACAAGAGTACAATTATTTGAATGATTTCCAATATTGGTATTATATTGATGAGTGACATTTGTGCTTCTTCAGAGATCAGGAACACTGAAAGTCTGAAGTTACTGCTCGACGAAATTTTTGCGCTCATTTCAATTGTGGATCCGCTTTCCAAATTGGAGGCGACTATGAAACTGAGAAGAAACGTATTTGAAGAAAAAATCTAATCTAAACAAATAAGAATCAGAGAAAAAGTATCACAGGCAGAAATAAAAACCAATATGTTTGTCAGTGAATTAATTTTCAACTGTCCCTCAGAATCAATTGACAAGATTAGAAAAAGTTATATATATTCGTTATTTCCTGATGACAAAATTAGTAAAACAAAGATTTTCGAGACAATTAATGTTTCTTTAAGATTGCTTCGAAATATATCAGCGGGTTCGTCCTCGCTACTGCTTGCAAAAAATAGACAAATGCAATTTTTTTCTGACAGTGTTACCCATGATTGCTTCACACGTTAACTTCTGTGCTTTTCATACTATATGAGTCAAATCGAAATTGGTTTTTCAGTCAGTTTTATTCAAGTGGTTTCTATGCGATGTAATGAGTCTCAGTTATATGGTTCTTATTCCCATTGTAAGAGAACCAAAATTTTCTCTATTCATGATTCACCATAAAAAGAAGCATTTATCGAGAGAAAATGGATTAGTGACGGCCGAATTGAACTTCTAATAAACATTTATCTACTTATGCTTTTTCAATCCGAAAGTTATCAGAGGATAAAGATATGCCTCCGACGAAGTTATTACAGTGATTCATGCGTTATATTAGATATCATATAGGGAGATTTTGATAATTTAGTTGTCATTTCACGGAGAAAATCGATCGATTAAACAGTGATGTACACAGGGTCATTTACACGTTCAATACTCTTTCGTCTAGAGAAATATTACAGGGCCATTTAAGATAGCTGAGAAATATGGGAGTCGATTGTATTTATGCTTATTTGCTTACTTTGTACAGCACCATCCGACATCGAATTGGTGAACTTGCCATCATCTGTTGATCAGTATTGTAATGATAAAAGTCCATCCAGATCATTGCTCATCGAAACACTGGGTATTTTTTTCCTCGTTTATATCTTTGCCGTGCCCATCTACTTGGCACTTCGATTGTCTCTCATCTTGGCTCCTATGCTTCACTTGTTTACCTATATTGTGTTCAAACAATTGTTCATGTTGCCATCATCGAATAAATCCTATCATATCTACTCGCTTGTCTACTATCGATGGTGGTTTTTGCAACGCTTATGGAAATTGAATGATCCATGGCATCGTATGCTTCACGGCACATCGCTCTACAATACCTATTTGCGATTGTGTGGAGCTCGAATCGGAGTAAATGCTCATGTACGAACTAGCCTGATCGATCAGCCTGACCTTCTCGATATCGGCGATAACTCATTCGTAGCTGAAGATGTAGTGTTCAGCTCGATGACATATGAATCCGAGAAAACATTCAAGTTGACTTCCATTCATATTGGTGCGAGATGCAAGATTGGTGCTCGAAGTGTTCTACACTCTGAAGTGCACATTGAAGATCGAGTTTCTGTGAAACCATTAACAGCTATTAGTAAGTAATTAGATAGTCATCGATTCCATCTCAATCTCGATAAAAACTTGAACTTTTTCATCTTTTTACAGCCGGTTCCATCGCCGATGATGCACTCGTCAACTGTCTTGAACAAGAGCGCATATCGGAGACGTGTGAAATGGTGAATGAAGCACCCACCAGTATATTCAACTCGCTAGTAAGTTTTTGCGTTGTATGGCTCATTCATGAATGTCTCTTACACATGGCTCTGATCATTTCGCAATCCTATTGGTCACTTGCTTGCCTCATCTGGCTACTAGGATGTATATCTATTTCATTCATTACTCTCAAATGGTTACCGTCGGGCATTGAGTCGTGGTGGAGCCGACAATTGCTTGTTACTGCTTTTGGCTTTGCCATTCCCTTGACATTCGAAGGCGATTCAGCGACAGCAACCGATTATATATATCCTCGATTTATTTGTTGGCTAGGTCGTATTTGTATTGGCCGAAATGTGCGCATCGGGACAGTGACTAATCTACTGATGATTCGTCGTAATCTTCTGAATATAGGCTCGAATGTGACGCTCGGCTCTGATATTCTTTTCAACGATGGCAACGCCGTTACTTGCATTGAAGACGGTGCTTCGTTCGGTAATGATTGTCTTATCGAAGCCGGCGCTCATATTCCATCATCAGCCAACGTCGGCTCAATGACACGTGTCGACAATTCACCTGATTTTACACAATCAAATCAAGTCCTTTTTGGTATTCCTGCACGGCAAACGACGACCCTTTTCGTCACTGTTTCACCACTTGACGATTCCTTGCATCCAAAAGAAGCATCTCACTCGATTATTCTATCAATTTTTGTTCGATTTGTCTCATTGTTACTCGTTTTTGGTATCATTCATGTGACTATTCTACCTATTTCGCTAATTCTCTTCTCACTAATCGTCTGTGCTCTCTATTCGCCGAGAAAAGACTCGTCCTTATTGTCATGTTTAACTCGTACACTTGTCAATGATTTCATCTTGTGTCTGGGTCCGTTTCTAGGTGGTACGCAATGGCTCAACATACTTCTAAATGCGTTTGGTGCCACAATTCATCGATCTGTCATAATAGCTGACATAGATTGCATCGATGATCCACATATGATACAGATCGGTCCACATGTACGCATTGATCAGCGAGCTCGTATACAAGTGAGTGCGATTGAAGACTAGAAACCAATGTCTTGATAGCATCTCCGCGTGATGTTCACAGAGTAAACATAAAAGATTTCGGGATGAATAGAACCATTCAGATGTCTAGCGTGACTGAGGCTCTAAATCGCTGAATATTTCTCCATAGCGGTGTATATGATAATATGTAAAGTGAATTTTTGACGAGTCTCAAAAAGTAGATCATATCAAAAGTACATCTCTTAGCTGTTAGTTGAAAGAGTGTTAGCATGTAAAAAAGCTCTTACGTCTTTCTCCATTACAGAAGAGTCAATCAAGCGTTACTTTCGTTATAAATAATGAGAGTAATGTCAGGCAAGAGCAACTAAGCCAAATATTGCTGATTTACACTTATTCTCGAGCTATGAAGTTCTTGACACTGTCTTCGGTCTGAATTCGGAAGGTTTGTCTATGATTTTTATTGAAAACATTCTGTCTCCTAATTGCATACCTTCTCAATGATAGCAATGTGCCAACTTTGTCTTACTCGTATTTTAACAGCTGATAATCAAACTTTGATCTTTTCAGGGGCATACCTATGAATATCGTCAATTATACATGCGCCCAGTGTCGATCGGTACCCGTTCTCATTTGATGCCCAATGCGTTTGTATTGCCCGGCTGTCATCTCGATGGAAACAATACAATCTATCCGTGCAC